TGAGAATTGAGCTCCAATTTCTCATTTATTCATTTGGAAGTAGTAGAAGGTTTAGAAACAAAGAACATCAAAATCTTCTTTATTTTCCATAATTCTTTAAACGAGGAATTGAAACATGCGTGTTGGGCTGTAGTTGTTGAAAAAGGAAGATTTTGTATGAATACTATTTAAATAAATCTGAACCAACATTTCTACGAAAATGTAAAAATTTTTAGAACAGTCTAATACTTATGATGCTAAAATGATGAATCATTTACATGAATCATGCACCTCTCCCGTAGTAACACAAGATTAATAATAGCCATCCGTGTATCTCGCGAGATAAAGGTAGCGGCTTGTTTGCTCAAAATTCACTCCTTTGGTGGTAAAACTGGCGTGAACACTCCAGGCATAATACTCGGGCGATGGAGGCCGTACGATGCCAAGTCCATGACCCCCACCTCTCGGCTGTACCAACAACGAAATACCGGGCATTATGCGGCTTGGCTACAGCAGTTGCAGAAAAGCTGCCAGTATTGACAGCCAACCGCTTTAGGGGCTTCAGTCCGGATATTCTGTCTTGGTTTACTTCCATAGTCTTTTGCGATTTGGGGTATGACGGCAAGGTAGAGAAGATTCCAAATCAGGGTACCCTTTCCTCTAGCCGTCCCGGGTAGACAAGCTCCATATACACGAAACAGCTGGTTATGAACAACCAGTTGCCCACCTTCAATCCCAGGGAGATTATATAAACGTTTGGAATTTATCATCACCAGCCCCCATGTGTATGACAACATTCGGATTATATATAATGCACGTATATAAATACTTCCTCTATTACGTGTTTTAGAAGGACCCCAAAATCTAACGGTTTAATATATATATATATATATATATATATATATATATATATATATATCAACGAGATCAACGCACAGGGCATCGTCAGCAGTGAATACGACAACAGACTTTCAGTGCCCCACTGTTCAGGCCCTGCGCCTCCAGCTCGGGGTTGTCGATCCACCTCCTAGTTCGCAGATCAGAGGCAGAAACGACACGTCATCTTTCCATTCGAAGGACAACCGATATATATATATATATATATATATATATATATATATATATATATATACACGAGTTAAAAAAAGAACATTAGTTAGATAGGAAGATGAATTATAAAAAAGTCGTACATAATAAGCAAACACAAATATCGAAATGTTAGATAATTGAGTAAAAAATATACCAGGAACAGGATAAAGGTTTCAAGTAAATATCTGGAAATAGTAATGGTTTCATTTTAATTTGATTTTATTTCTTTGCTTAATAACTATCCATTACAGATTTATTTTTTAATCAAGCAAGGCGATAATTCTACTAAAATACTGAGAATGAAAGTGAATAACAAGATATATGACGGAACCGGAAACCCAATCCTAAATAGGAAACATGGGATATATCTCTACTACTACTCAAAAGACCGAACCTACCAATCTACTCCTATTAAATGTTTACGCTCTAAAGATAAATCAGTAAATGCATTCGTTGAAATCATTTTTTTTCTTTTTACTTGCTAAGTGAGGAGTTATTATAATTTGAGGCATAGACTTTTTTAATTCTTCAAATATTTTGATTCATACGTTGGTCTGCGAAGATAATTTAATACCGATTATTATTATTATTATTATTATTATTATTATTATTATTATTATTATTTTATATCATTTGATTTCTGGTGTGTACACAGAGACCTAAGGTTAGAAATGGCATCATGACATTTTCCACTGACCAATTAACCCCCCCAAACACACACACAAACATATTTTACATTGATGAAGCCCTTCGTAAAGCATGGGCTGTACTCGTGAGAATAATTTTTTTTTGTATTTCTTTAAGGCATGGGCTTCCAGGAATCCCTTCATTGAGTCTACTAGAATCTTTCCCAACCAATCCCAGGGCCCACAACTACAACAGGGATTATTGATGTTCGCATGTGCCATATTTTTGAGATTTCATTTTCAAGGTCCTTTTTAAAGATCTTCAAAGACACATTGCAGTCTGCAGGGACCGCCATATCAATAAAGAAGCACTTTTATTTGTTTGCGGTCTCTAATAACAATGTATGAATGGTTAACTTTAATTGTTCTCTATTATTATTATTATTACTATTATTATTATTATTATCATTGTTGTTATTATTGTTATTGTTGTTGTTAATATTATTATTATTATTATTGTTGTTGCTGTTGTTATTGTTGTTACTATTATTATTATTATTATCATCATCATTCGATTTCTGTTATGGACACATTATTTCTGCGGAAAAGACCTAAGGCAGGTCGTGTTGTTATTACATTTCATGTTAATTTTTTTTTTTTTTTTTTTTTTCCGATGAAGTTGCTAGCGTTACATAGACAAAGTTCTCCTTAGTGTGTGTGCTGTGTAAGACAATTTTCTGTATGTCTCTTAAGCTGGGGTTTCAGGGGATTCTTTCAATGTGTTGTTTTGTTCCATTTTTTATAATTCCAAGTAAACTGGTATTATTCTTGTTTTCAATTTCCATTTTTTTCTATTTCAATTTCCAGGTTTTTTGATAGTTTTTCAAATTCCTTGGTTGCTATGTTACAATCCGCTGGACAAGCCATATCAATTAGTAGGCAAAATTTTTCTTTCTGGTTTTTGAAATAATGTCCGGCCTATTTGCTTCAATTTTTCTGTCTGTGTGGATGGTATAATCCCATAGAATGGTGACATCTTCTATTTCTGTAACCGGCGCTGGCCGATGTTCATACCAGTGTTTGCTTACACATTTTCCAAAGTGTTTGCACATTGTCCAGTGTAAGTATTGCCCCACTCTATCGTGACGATTTTTTATATTCATTTGGGGCAAGAACATCCTGAGATTAGATGGTCTATTGTTTCTTGGTATTTGTCACAGAACCTGCATTTTGATCCACATTATTATGTATGATATTTGCCTGAAAATTCCTAGTGAAAAGACTCTGGTCTTGCGCTGCAAGAATAAAACCTTCAGTTTCAGACTTTAATCCAGATGCTCGTAACCATCGATGAGTATTAACTTTATCAACATTGGGTTTATTTGCACGTTCTGGATATTGGCCATGCAGAGGTTTGTCTTGCCAGCGTTGTTTCATCTGTTCAAGGGCTTTATCCTTGGCTTTCTTTTTTCATATCTTTTGCTGCAATAGTTGGTTCTTGGCTTCTGTTTTGATTTACTACAGAATCTACTAAATGTAAATGTTGTTTGTATTTACTGCCTTCTTTTATTATTGAATATTTTTTCTTTCTGTTTTCATGTTGTTTCACTAATTTTATCATCCAGTCATTTGTTGTTTCCATGTAAGTTAGTAAGCCAATAGTTGTTGTCTTGTATGACAATTCTAGCTGAATAAGACCTTATTATTATTATTATTATTATTATTTTCTTTGATTTCTGGCGTTTACACATTTCTTTCCGGGTCCCGCCCAGGGACTTAAGGTTAGAAATGGCATCAAAACTGACAAAAAAAAAAAAATACATAGATAAAGCCCTTCTTAAAGTGTGGGCTGTACATGTCAGAACAATTTTTTGTATCTCCTTGAGGCATATTATTATTATTATTACTATTATTATTATTATTATTATTATTGTTATTGTTGTTGTTGCTGTTAATGTTGTTGTTGTTGTTATTATTATTATTATTATTATTATTATTCCCATGGATTCTATCCCACAGTGTCCTCTTTTGCAAAACTATTTTAATTCTTTAAAAGATGCTAAGATCGATATTTATGCATAATCTTTATCAATATAAACTTCAACATTATCATTAGAATAACGAGAGCCTGCATTCTCTTCATTTTCTTATTGCATCCCTTTGTCCACCATGTTGAATGCAAGTGGCTGTTGTCAGTGTCACCATTGCCACTACCACTTTTAATTTTCTCGACTACACGGTTGCTGTTTTTGTTTTTGAGTTATAACAGCCATCAACATGCTAACTAGATCTCAAAATCGACCAGGAAAAAAAAACCCTTTGTTTCACATACGTCGATGCTTGATTAGGCTCAACGAACCACTAGAAAAGGCCCGATGCTAAAACGCAAAGAAAAATAAATCCATAAACAGCATATCTGGAACATTTCTTCCTTCTTCTTGGTTTTTCTTTTTTTTCTTTTTTTTTTTTTTCGTTTCGTTTCCTCACTTGCCAATATTCTAATCCTCCCGCCAAACTTTCTGCCTGTTTCTTCTTTGCCTCACCGAGATCCCAATTTTCATTTTATTTCGTTTGTTTTCTGATGGGACATTCTTTTTCTTTTAATCTTTTTTTTTTTCCATTTTTTTTTTCTTTTCTCATCATCTTATTCCCTCATTCCTGAATTCTTTCGACTGACAGATCAATCGAACGGTCACACGCATTCCAAACTTTCTTTACGCTCGCTTTTCATTCAATTTTTCCACAAACTTCTGTCGCTGCCTTTAAGCGCGTTCTTCACCCTTTATATATATTTTTACCGCTTTAGATTATTTATAATTTCTTCTTTTTTTTTTTTAAATTCTAATTTATTTTTAGTTCTTGGCCTGTTCATCTTTTCTTTCTTTTACATTTTCTATCGCTTTCATTCTCATTTTTCTTGCATTTATATTTTAGTATTTTTTTCATTCAGTTTATGAAATGACTCTTCGTAGATATTCCTTTATTTTTTATCCATTTATTTTTTTTAATTATATTGATTTCCTTTTCTTTTTACTCTTTTTCTTTTTATCTCCCTTTTGTTCTCTCACAAATTCTTCATTTTTCATTCACTTTTTAATCACTGCTTATATTTTCATTCTTTAAATTCATTCTTAATCGCTTCATCTCTACATTTATAGTCTTTATAAATATCCCACCTTTCGAACTTCCTTCTTTCCATTCATTGAGAAAACGAATGAAAAATAAATATCTTCCATTTTCTAAACATTGTTGCTTTTATTTTCCTTCTTTCGTTCATTTGTGCTGCCATTTTATTTAGATGTCTTCATGTTCTATTCATATTTATTTTTAACGTTTTCTTTCGTTTCTTTTTTTCTCACTTTTTCTCTGATACTTCATAATGCTAATATTTCGTTTGTTTTTAATAAGGGTCTTTTGCTGCAATTTTTTTTTCTTTTGCAATTTTTCATTCATTTTTCTCTTCAATTACAATTTTCGCCACGTTATTCATTCTTTTTTCTCCTATCACTCTTCCATATCTATCTTCCATTTGCCAATTCTGTCCACTTTGCATTCCAGCGTTTCTTTCTTTCTTTTTTTTATTCCCTCCTATTAAGATTTCGTTTATCCATTTCCTTGATTTATTGTCATCTTCCTCATTTTGTAGATGTCATTTTTTTTTTCTGATTTTCCTCTTCCTTTTCGCCTTTCGTATAGTTCTATTTATTTCTCATCTTTTTATTTGCTTCTTGCTTACTAAAAAAAAGAAGAAAGAAAAGAAAAACTTTCTTTTCTGTTACGTTGTCTTCCATTTCCTTTCTTTTTTTCTCATTTGCCTTCATTTTAAATCACACTTTTCTCTTGGTACTCTTTCTCTCTCTCTCTCTCTCTCTCTCTCTCTCTCTCTCTCTCTCTCTCTCTAACTTTCCCTCACTCTACCGTTTCTCTTCTCACCCTCTTATTTTTTCCTCAGCAAATCTGCTCCCCATCCCGTTTTCCCCGCCTTTTTCTTTCGCCCCTCCCTCCACAAGGCGCTGCTCCTTCCCTGTTTGATAATTGACGTATGAAATACGCCGGCTGCAGAAAAGTGACATGCGCAGATATAACGATGTCATAAGTGACACGCAAAGGCGACCGCTGGTCTCTGGCGACACGCCGTAATCGGGTTAAGGTGTATTAGGACAGTATAAACATGTCCAAAGAGCGGGGAGTCTATCACCATTCGATACAGCGACGCACTGCGCCACAAAACCGCTTCAGCGCAGGCCACGTCGTCGTTGGCGGCTATTATTACCCATAATCATATTAGGAGAAAGACTGAGAGACAGATTAGAAGAAGCAATAGGAGAGTGTGTGAAGACAGAGAGGGGGAAAGAAATAATAAAAAGAGAGTGTAAGGCAACCTCAAGAATTATAGAATAAGCCGTTAAAACATTTTTAGAGGAAAAAAAACTATCTGAAATGTTTGAGAGCAATTTCAGCTTTATGAAGATTTTGAAAGATATGAGAGTGAAACAAATAACAGCTTGGTTAACGGGCAAGAGTCGATAGAAATTAACTAGATAATGACAGATTGATAGAATATAACGTTTTTGCGAGGACGAATAAGGCGTTGTGAAGGAGTGAGTTTAGCTGAATTGAGCAAAAGAGGGAGAGGGAATAGCATACGATAAACTGGTTTAGAATTGAATAGAGAGAAGGCGATGAAAATATGAGAAAGAGAGACTAAAACAATTTTTAAATAATTCCATTGATAAAATTTTAAGCGAAAAGGCAGGAATTTATAAAATGCAGGCAGAAGTTTGGAATAAATAATAAACCAAAGAATAATGAGAGCGAAGTTAGAGACACATACATGTTTGTTATTCAGTTTGGTAAGGCATACAAAAAACAGGATTGGAAAGTAAAATGGTCACTTGTTTAATATCGACCCAAATGCTCGTCTTCTCTCTCATGGAATCAAACCGACGTTGCTGGTGACTGTTTATCGGACCAGCTGAAAAATTGTCCAGTTAGTAAGATCTTCAATGAGCAACATCTTCAGTGTATTCGTAGGCTAGATCACGGTAAAGAATTTTGTTCTAAATCGAAATACATATATCCAAGTTAATCATTAACTTGTGATGAATAAGTTTTCCATTCCGAAATCAGAGAATATACTAGGTTGAGTCAAAAAAATTAGTGCAATTTGTTTTATTCTATCAGAAAAACTATTCAAACATATCGTACATGAAGATAGAGCCATACATCACAGGTTCACACCTCTACTTCTCAACATAGTCGCCACATCTTTCAATGGTAGAACGAGAGCATGTATACCAGCTTCGTAAAAGTCACCTGGCAGCTAATGCAGCCAATTCCTTACCGCAGTTTCCACTTCTTCATCACCACCATAATGTTTGCTCATCAATGCCTATTTCATTTGATCAACGAGATAAAAGGGTGTGTGTCTGTGTGTGTGTGTCTGTGTGTGAATGTTTATACGGGTTTCTCTTTCGGCAACAATGTATTTGATTGTTGTTCTTTGCTCCTGGTGGACTTTCAACCGGACGGCTAATTTCAAGTGTTCATTTATTCATATATCTGGGAAAAATGAGATAATTAAATATCTATTGTGGCCTGTTTAGGGGCCAGAAAGAAAGACACGGAAGACAAAGGTAGGTTGAAAAAGTATATTGAAGATATATACAAAACAATAGTGTTAGTAATAAGTCGATTAGCACTGCGTCTATTACTTCACTCTACTTTACACTCTCTCATCCGACTCTCGAAGTTTGTATTTCTAAGAGGAGAAGGAGTTCATTATACTGTAAAAGGGTTTACCCCAACAAAATCACAAGCTTTTATATCTGTACAAAATATCGAATAATTTCATTGAGAAATATTTTCATCGCAATTCTTCTGATGGGCTATTTTCCTTAGTGCCTCGAATGCATGAATTTAGGCGTGTTACTAAGATTGGCAACTAAGTCCCGCTATCTTAATGTTGAAATAGCTAGACTCAACCGTCGGTTCTAATCTAATAATTTATTTTCTCGTACTTCGCGCCTGTGGAACTTCATTACGATTTTTTGCATCCCTGCCATCTACAATCTTCAAAAATTTAAATGCAACTCAATCGCTACTTTCTGTCATCCTGAATCCTGTTCCGTTCTCCCTACTTCTTATGCGTTTTCACCCCTTGTAACCCCCTGTGTCTTACTGGCATTATCAACTTGAATGGGGTGAAATTATTAAAAAGATTCGCCTCCTATTACAACAATTTCATTAAATTTTTATCTCATCCTTGTAAATATGAAATATAGAGATTATATGTGGTTTATTCAGTCGCTCAATTACTAAATTCCTATTAAATACTGCAAGTTTATACGTGCAATATTAACGATATTTTCTATTTTAACATCCTCTTTCACGAAGTGGCTGGATTTAATCATTCGTGGAGGAACAAAATCAGATTTATGCATAATATTAACACAATAATGCCCACCGTCCTATTTCGGGCATGGTGGGCATTATCGTTTCACAGGTAGAAATCTATAATTTATACCGACGTTTTATAAAAAATAGTTCTATAACTTATCAGAACCCTAAAATAAAAATCGTTTTCCTATTAGAAATGTATAATTAATACCAGATTTTTAAAATTAATATCGCATTTTACGGTGGCCATGAAAGTTTAATCACCATTTAACAATAAATGTAGTAGATATCCTTGATAACTTCAAAAGTAGTAGATATCCCTGGATTACTTCAAATGTAGTAGATATCCCTGGATAACTTCAAAAGTAGAGGATATCCCTGGATAACTTCAAATGTAGTAGATATCCCTGGATAACTTCACGTTACTATTGATTGGTGGTCTGTAATCCTTCCTTAGATTGATAGATTATAATTTAAAAGTGTACATTTAGCATAATACAAATATCACTCTATATTCAAGGGCACCGCCGAGTGAGGGTAATGTCTACAGACAATACCATTAGTACAGAGTAGTCAATTCCATTATCAATGGTTGTAATATCCGACATTAAATAACCTGGCAAAAATTTGACATTCGCAAATGAATCAACAGAAATGATTTTCATAAGGTATTTTTTCTTCTTCTTTCATATGTTTTGGCCCTTTAAGACATAGACGATTATGCCTCTCCACAATTTTCCGTCTTTCCCGCTGTTAATAAATTTTGTATTTTTGTTATTGTTGACAGTGAAATGGTGGGACTGAGATGCCAGCCTGGTAACTCATTTAAATTCTTGTAGTCAGGGAACTAGTGAAAGTAGCTCGTCGGAACAGTTGCCGGAAAAATACTTGTAAAAGAGACAGGTAGGACATGGCACGTCTGTGGGATAGCGATGTTAGCTTAGATGCCAGATCAGGACTATAAAAAAACATGATTTTTTTATAATTAAAATCTTTAAAGATATTGTGTGTCAAAATATAGGAAACGAAAATCGGTTTATTACGGGGCTCTACGCATGATATACCTGGCGGGCTGCATGGCTGGCAAGTGGATAAAAGAACGTGATCTAGGGGAGGTGGCAGAGGGACGAAACTTATTGAGAGCTACAAGGGATAAAGGAAAGTTGAGAGCTATGATCGCCTACGTCCTGAAAGGACACGGCACATAAAAAAAAGAGAATTGGGCTCCTCTCGCGAACTTGTGGGTAGAAGCAGAAATGCCTATTATACCCGGTCTATGCCACTCAGGTATTTGGACGAGCTACTGCCCTTCCGTTTTGGTGCAATGGAAAGCTACTGCATTAGAGATGGAATCTCCAGGGATGACACTCATCTATTTCAATTTCGCGTCGAAAGATTGAATCCTTCTCACCTTTAAGTTTCTCTCCTTTTTCAGGAAATTCTCTTTTTTTATTTTTTTATTTTTATAATATGACTCTCTCTCTCTCCTCTCTCTCTCTTTTTTTTTTTTAGCGACTATTAAAGCTTTCCTCGACGGTGCTTAAAATAGATCGATTATGTCCGCTGCAGAATGGTATGACCCAGCTCGAAAAAAGAGGGTAACTTCCGAGAAGATAATTGTGGAGATGGGTATAAACTCCACCAATGGGACTATATTTTCCTATCTACTAATTCATGGTGATTTTTGTCCTACAAGACTTGTATTCGGATTTAAACGACACAATGTTGCCAGATTCACCAATATAACCAAATTTTAAATTAGTTGTCCTCTTACCTAAACATTATTTTTCCTGTTTTCTGAAGTGTAAGGGAAAATAACGAACCCTACTAGAACTCAGCTCTCCGATTAACTATTCCAAGCCATTATCCATTATACCACCAACACATCCAGCACCTGATATTCCCAAGCGATTACCCATCTAAATACTGACTAAGCACAAAGTTGCTTAACTTCGTTGTCATTATATGATATGGCCGTAAGCTTAAATCTGAAATTGTCCTTGATAGTAAATGTATTTGGATCTTTCATAATTTGATAAATTGACATTTCAATGCCTGGAGGCTAGATTTACTTGTGAAATCTCTATCCATATCCTATTGGGGCAAGTATAAACTGGTTTCTTTTCTTTTTTTTTATTTTATTTATTTATTGCATATATGTAAATTATTATTGTAAACTTTAATTTTGGAAAGTAATGATCTCACTGAAATCTGTTGGAATATTTCCAAGTTTCAATCTGAAATCAAGAAAATACGAGCTTTAAGAAAAATACTCACAAGATATGTAAAAAGTATCACTTTAAATAAACTTATATAAACAACGCGTAGTTATTTTAATCATATTCACAGAGAATTCTTTTTTTAAATAAGATTAACTTTGTATTGTTTTAATATGCTAAGAAATATTTTTATATCATATTGACTTGAAAATGTTTTTAAATATGGCATTTTTTGTTTTAATATTTAAAATATTGCTTGTTTAATGAAAGCTGAAGTCATACAATGACAGAGACATGGAAAGAGAGAGAGGTGAAAAGAAAGAGGGTAGAAAGTTTGAGGTCGAGAGAAATTTAAATCATGATGCGCCCGACAGCCGATGTACGTACGATCCACACTTTTAGTATTTTATATAT